GCTTATTCTACTGAGCCATCTCCCCAGCCCCCAGGCTGGTCTTGAACTCACAATGACCCTCCTGCCTCAGCCTCTTGAGTGCTGGGATTAAAGGTGTGCGCCAGCATGCCGTGCTATTCCTTTTAGCAGCCAAGTGATATGTTGGGCAGAATCAGAGGGGATTTTATCGGACATTCTTTTATTGCCAAGCATGTAACACTTTCTAATTTTTCTTGATTGAAACCATATTGCATGAATTTTTTAGGTAGACTAGAACTCCTACTCTTAGATCTGAATAAAATATTTAAAGTGCCTAATCCTGGGGAAACTAAAACATGGAAACTGTAGATTCAGACTACAAAGACTGCTTCCCAGACACACGGTTAAAATTCACTCTTCCTCCAACAATTGCCAGCAGTGTCAGAAAGTCCACCTGTACCTGTGTCTCTAAAGGAACGAGGAACAGTTTTCCAAAGAACAAGATCATGGGAGTCCTGGAGTGCAGGGTTAGAGTTTGGACTTTAAGCTGGGCGTGGCAGTGCGTACCTGTCACTCCAGCACTCCGGGAGGCTGCGTAGGGAGGACTGAAAGCTCCGTCCTACACGGGTGAGCCCGGCCGCAACTACCAGAAGAAGTCCTACCCCACCCGCGGACGGTTAGTTCAGGGCTTGCCACACACCCGTGAGTCTTCGGACAGGCTCACACAATTCACAGCACCTCCAAGCCCAGTCTGCACACCCAGCTTCTGGGCAGAGAAGAGAACTCAACGCCCGGAAGTGGTGCCACCAGCGGAAGCGCGCATGCCCAGAGAGGGTTTCTGGCCTCCCCGGGCTCTTCTCGGTTCTTTCACTCCTGAGGTCCTAGAATCAGGCAGAGCCGGGAACATGGACTTCGGTCGGTGGGAGACTAAGCCATCAGCCAGTCCCAGCTGGTCCTTGCTCAGCTGGGGAACTGAGTCCCAAGAGGAACAGGGACTTGAGGGCTGGTGGACTCAGGTCCTGCTGTGATGACCCTGAGCTCCCCTGGCCCTGGGTAGGTCAGTGGCTGCCTCCTGTCCCCTGGGTGGTCTGGGCAGCAATGTGGTCAGCAGGTTGCTGCTTCTGTCAGGTGACCTCTCATAGGCCAGGCCACCTGGAAGGTACTTTTGGCCCCAGCTACTCAGAGGAGAGAGGCTCCCTACCTGCCCTTGCTTCCTACAGCTGGGCCTTTGCCCCTGGGGCAGGGGGTGGTGGTGGTGAGGAGGTGGCCAGGGGGGACAGTCCCCGCCCCGGGGGGAGGGGCTGCCACTAGGGGAAGCCTTGTCCCTGAAAAAGTGAGAAAGCCCTGACTCGGTCATTCTCTTTCTACGCAGCCAGACCTGCAGCCCCACAGGAGGTGGGGGTGGGGGTCCTGGGAATGCACTTGGGATATCTGAGGGCACACAGTTGCAGGAGGGGCCAGGGCTGCTCTCTAACTCCCATGGATTGATCAACTGACTGACTTAGGAGTTTCCTGTCTGTGTTGTGCTGGTGGCTGAGCTCCGGGCCTGCTAACGAGGCCCCATCACCTTCCCTTTTTATTTTGAGACAGGGTCCCAACAATTGTCCTCATGGGATTAAAGCTTGCAATCCTCCAGACACAGCTTCCTGCAGGACTGCAGCAGTAAGCCCGTGGCACCATCATGCCCGGCTTATTTATTTCACTTGCTATTTTTGAGACAGCGTCTCACGATGCAGTCCAGGCTGGCCTTGAACTCGCCGCAGTCTCCCACCTCGATCTGTGAGTGCTGGGGTCGCAGGCATCTGTCGAGCTTACTTTATTTTTTACAAAGAACAAACATGTTTTGTTTTGTTTTATATTTTATTTTATTTTATTTTATTTTCTGCCCTGGGCTGCGAGCTCTAGCCCGGAGCACCCCATGCCCAGCCGATTGGGGGGCTCTGTGACAGTATGTATAATTCGGTGGCTACCAGCAACGTCATTCTATAATCTGGAGAAGGAAAGGACCGGCCAGGATGGTGGGTGCTGTGGGATTTGTCTCTTTGCTTTTCTGCTTTTTCCGGAAACAGCTGCTCACGACTTTTAAGAAATATAAAAGAAAAACTTAAGCCCACTCGGGGTCTGTAGACGTGGTGGTGTGGGGGTTGCGGGGCCGCTCTACCTTGCAGTTTGGGGCTGGGCGTTTCCGTGGAAACCTAGGCGTGGCGTCTCCATGGCGACCTCTGGGCGGCAGTCACGCCCTTGCTTACGAAGGGGCCTTGCATAAGCCCTGCTCGCGGGACACTCCAGGCAAGATGGGGGCAGCGGCCAGCGAGCTCCGGGCGCTGATGCCCAGTGACCCGGCGCGGCTTCCCGAGGTCCTGGGGCTTCACCTTGTAGCCTCCGGAAGGGATTTCCGAGGGCCTAGGAAGAAAGCAAGC